GAAGTTAAAAAAGTAAACCCGTTGCTGGTCATTGGATAAGGGTAATAATAATGATAATCATAATATACTAAAGTTTGTTGATACTCGCAACAGCTACAAACTAAGAATAAATGAAAGCAAAGAACGTCACAATCAGAGAATAAGGGATGAACTGCTTGCCAATCCGAACGGTTCTAGATTCTTCTGGTCAAAAGCTAAAGTTGTTAATCAATCCACAATTCCACCATTAATACAAGCGGATGGTTCAATTCCAACAACAATCATGGAAAAAGCAAATCTACCAGCTGAAAAATTTGCTTTCCACTCCACAGTCGATTTTCTGGAAAGGGCACCACCCATTATTCCCACATTGGAATCCACAATGCCGGAAATTACTTTTCGGCAAAGTCTAATCAGAGAATTTTGAAACAGCTCAATATCAACAAGGCGTTTGCCCGTCATCATACTTAAAAAGCGCACAAATGAACTGGCACCAGTATTTTGTAGACTTTTCAACTTGTTTTACAAGGAACGGGGTTTTTCTTCTTGTTGGAAGATTGCTTGCATTCAGCCTATTACCAAAAAGGGAAAGAAAAATCTTTCAAATAAGTATAGACCAGTCGCTTTGCTATCAGTGATATCAAAAATCATGGAGAAAGCCGTAACCACAATATCCTCAAATATTTGGAAAGCTCCAACATCTTGAGCGATCATCAATATGGCTTTCGGAAACAAAGATCAACAGACGACCTTCTATCGTATGTCACCTATATTTGGAATAAAGCAATCGAGAAACATGGTGAGTCAAGAGCTGTTGGGATTGAGGCCTTTGACCGCGTGTGGCATGAGGGTTTGCTGGCCAAATTACGATGCTATGGCTTGTCGAATCATTTTTATGTATGGCTCTCCAGCTTCCTGAAAGAACGTTTCCTGCAAGTGATTGTCGATGGATATCTCTCGAATACTTTTACCATCAACTCTGGTGTTCGCCAGATATCCATATTTTCTCCAACCCTCTTTTTATTGTATATCAACGACTTATTGGAAAACACGAAGCATCCAATATATTGCTTCGCTGACGACAGCACACTTGTCTCGTTATCCAGGACATCGGCTACGGAGGCACATCTTCACCGGCAGCAGGAGGTTGCATATCGTAATGAGGATCTAGAAGTTATTTCGAATTGGGGTGAAAGTAACCAGGTTCAATTCAATGAAACAATAACCCAGGCATCGGTTTTCTCCAAGAAAATAAATGTTTCCGAACCGGAGATCATAATGTCAGGTCAGACAATTCCGTGTTATGCTTTGATAACTTTGTTGGGGGGTTCAAATGGACACCAATATGTCTTGGCACAATCATGTCGCATGAATTGTAAAAGTTGCTTCTCAAAAGCTTGGAACACTGTTCCGAACCAGTAAACTGTACACACCTCAGTAACTTTCGATGCTTCATAAAGCTCAGATCAGACCTTCTTTGGAGTATTGTTCTCATGTGTGGAGCTCCACCCCCAAACATACCCTGAAGCTGTTGGATTCCATCCAGAAAAGAGTCATCCGCCTGATTGTAACCTTGTCTGGAACATCGAAGAAAGGTTGGAGATTTGTCTTTCTTCTATAGATACTTCCACATGGTTGTGTTCAAGTGACTTGGTACATTTGATTCCGCCAAGAGCGGTACATATCAGGAATACGCGACGGATTGTGACTGCTCATCGTTTTGAGGTTCAAGTCAGTACACCTCGAACTTCACTGTTTAAGAACTCTTTCATCTGGAGAACTGCGTTTATGTGAGATAAACTTCCTGAGATTGTTTTTCCGAATGGATTTAATCTCCAGCGATTCAAATCCAATGTGAATCACTACTTTCGCACAGGCACCGCTCTAAGAGCGCCTTAAAGATTTTACTGTAGTGTTTGTGTTTTGTCCTTTCTTATCGTTGTCATTGTACACTACCTAAGGTCTTCCTTGTCTGCTAATGAATTTTCTGAACCCTTGTGAAAAACTCTGTTGATAAGTTCGAAGCAAGTTCTAAAAGTTCATCTTACAAAATATAACTAATATCAGTAAATTGATATTTATGGAAAATCTTCAAGGTACATTACTCAGCATCCTTGGGACATAATTTGAAAACGTGTAAATGAAAAATCAGTTTTCAGTCGTAAATAAAGCCAAGGTCTCTATTATTTTTAATTATGTTCGATGATTTCCTGTGTAATCATTAAAATCTAAAGTTGATGTGGAAATATTTATCATGTGGAAGATTTATTGGATGAATCAATTGATTCATCATCAATTTCATATCAGGACCTTCCCATTAAATAATTTTAGGGTATTTGGACTTGTCAGATTAAGAGTTGCCAATTATCTTTGGTGAATATTTAGCTTTGAAGCCCTCATCAAACTATGGAATAATAATTTGAATAAATTTCTATTCCAGAAAAACATGGAGGCTGAATATTGGTAGAAGATGGATTATTTTTACTAGAATGTAGGGCATGTTCGATTCCTTGTGCTTTAGGCCCTTTGCCTCGTAGAGCTTGGTCTAGATAAGAAAGTTCATAGAATATACTATGTTTGAATTAATTATCAATTAATTTCAATTTCATTCTTATGAAAAATAATGCAGTGAAACACTTGCAAGTAGGTTAGGTTAGGTCCAAAGCGAGTGGGTCTATTCGACCATCCACCGCAACCTGCAAGGGTTTATTGTGGCTCACACCTATTCATACTCGACCAAATGAATCTAGCTTCTTAACGAAGCCGATAAATTTGTATGGTGAGTGGTCTTACAGGTCAGATGGTAAGAGTACGGCTCTGGCAAACTCTAAAAACCTGATTCGGTCCCCAGCAGGGCAGGTACAAAGTATGTGCTCTACTGTTTCATCATTTTCCAAACACACTGTCTTCCCACAGTCCGAGTCTCTATGATGATTCAAATGACAGTGAGAAGGCCTGTTAGACATCGTAGTTCATCCCTACTATAGTCCAACAACTGTTGGAGTGAGCCAATTCTGGAAGATTCTGCCAAAAGTTCATAAATCTTCTTGCCATCCAGGTGTTCAATATTTGTTTGGAAAAGCCTAAAGCGATGCCAATGATAGGTTCTGGTCCGATGAAGCTGCTTGCAGCACCCTCCTTTGCAAGGCAGTCAGCAGCTTCATTGCCTTCCAGGCCAGTATGGCCAGGAATCCAGACCAGAGACAATCTGTTAAGTCTTCCTATCGAGGAGAGTCGATTTTGGCAATTTGCTGCCAATTTAGACGTTGATCGTTAGGAGCCAAGAGCTTCCAACGCCGCTTGACTGTCCGAGAATATTCCTATTGACTTGTGTTGTGTATGAGGTTGGATTTTTCCAATCTCTCTGCACACAATTCAATAGCGTAAATTTCCGCTCGAAATACATAATCGCATAGGTTCCTAGGCAGGTCCTGGATATACAACTCAATACACCTGCATCAGAACCTGAAGGCATCACTGATGCCTTCAGGTTCTCCTGGGTCGTTTTCTGTAAAGCCTTTGGTCACCAGGCAATTGAATCATTGGTCGGACAATCATCACATAAATCCAATTGATTTGTTTGGGACCTCATCCCCAAGTTTTACCACAAATCCTTTGATATGTCCATAGGGACAGTCTAGCTTTGTGTAAAACTTTTTCCAAGTGAGGTTTCCAGAGTTTTTATGCAAAGATATTTTACCTCCGTTCCAAATTGAATGACCTCACCATTGAGGGAAAGTGGCGTTAAACCGTCCAATTTTCTTCTCCCAGTGAAGGGGATTGTCACAGTTTTGCTGGGAGCAGATATCTGCTCCCTCAGGCACGTGAACAACGTCCATCTTGCTTTGGAGGACGTGGACCTTGTCAAAATGACAAGGTCATCTGCATGAGCTTTTTATGCCAAAATATTTTACCTCCGTTCCAAATTGAATGACCTCACCATTGCGGGAAAGTGGCGTTAAGCCGTCCAATTTTCTTCTCCCAGTGAAGGGGATTGTCACAGATCTGCTGGGAGCAGATACCTGCTCCCTCAGGCACGTAAACAACCACCATCTTGCTTTGGAGGACGTGGACCTTGTCAAGATGACAAGGTCATCTGCATGAGCTTGCAGATCTACTTTTTTTCTGTCGATGGCATCAAACGGACTATCCATCAGTAGCGACCACAGAAGGGGAGATAGTACCCCACCTTGAGACCAGCCTCTGGTGATTCTGAACTTAATGGCCTCGCCTTGAAGAGTCGTACTTGCAGTTCTGTTTACAAGCATGGCATAGATCCAGCCAGTTATGGTCGATTCTATACGTTTCCTAGCAAGATATACTCCTATAGATTCAGGTAGTGCATTGTCAAATGCAATCTCCTTGTTGTCAAGGGATTGGGAAATTTTATCTACAAGGTTGTTTGCTAAATCTATCGATTTGCCGGTTTGATAAGCATATTGGTGGTTATTCAGGGGGATGCATATAATGCCACCTTCCTGATATGTCACGGCTGGGTATAGGAAAACTCCGACACTGTAACAATGAATTCCAATGGCCGATTGCAATTAAATCTGATTGGCTAGCATAAGGAAGCTTGTTCATTTTACCCAATAGATGTGCATGATGATCATGCTTTGATCATGCATCTATCCTTGTTTGAGTCACTTTGTTTGTTGGACGAATATAGTATAATTCTAATATTGTTTTGAAGTGAATTCATTCAATTGGATTGATTTCTAGAGTCAACGGCAAGTTTCGCTATAAATTTGAAAACCATAGTATTTTTGTAGAGCACAAATTTAGGAGTTGTGTCACTTGAAGGTTGAATCTAGAAGTGAAATTTGCAAAATGTCAGTTCATAGTCTGAGAATGTTTTTGGATGGATTATTTTATGAATTTGCACAATTTTTTTACAGATATTGAATCTTTTTTTTGGTTATTCCGTACTGCATGATCCAAAGTGCCTCAGATCTTTCAAAAAAATTCCTCATGTAGGGACTTTGGAAGAGATTAATCCCGAAACTTATAATTAAGCTTACACGTATGCTGCCAAAATGTTCAATAAGGTTGACTTTCCAGCTCCAGATGGACCCATTATGGCAGTGAGTTCTCCGGATTGAAACTTTCCACTAATTGACTTCAGTAATTGCCTCCATCCTGTAACAAACATTTTTCTGTTAAATCTATACTAATACATTAATGTGAAAGTTTGTGAAATTGGATAAATGTATGTATGTATGTATGTTTGTGGCTCTTTCACGCCCAAACGACTAAACGGATTTAGATGAAACTTTACATAAATAACAGTTTTTACATCTGAATAATAGATGAATAACAGGCTTTTGACAAAATTGATCACGATGTACTATTAAAAAAGTTGAATGAGTTTGGACTCTCTGATAGCACACTCAAAATGTTCGGAAGTTACCTTGAAAATAGATTTTCAGTGGTTAAGCATAATGGAAATACCTCGGGGAAATATGAAGCTAATTCTGGAGTACCACAAGGATCCAATTTAGGACCCTTGCTCTTTGTTATGTTTATTAATGACTTGCCCTCAGTTCTCAGGTACTCAAGCTGTTCGTTATTTGCAGATGATCTCAAAATTAAAAAAAAAATGAAACTGTCAGAGACAGTGTTATGTTGCAGAAAGACTTGCAATATGTTTGCAAGTGGAGTTGTAAAAATAAATTATTTTTCAATCTAAAAAAATGCAGTGTTATGAGAATAAAAAGGTTGAGAGATCCGATAATATTTGATTACATGATGCAAGGAGAGGGGTTAAAGAGCGTTATGGAAATGAGAGATCTGGGTATTTTACATATGATGATAAACTATCCTTTTCAAACCATGTGAAAAATGTAATTGAATCAGCAATCCGTATGTTAGGCTTCACAAAAATCATATTTTTCCAATATAAAAGCTATAAAGATTGTGTATTACACATTAGTCGGATCGAAACTTGAATTCGTATCAAAAATTTGTTTAGGAGAATATCAAACTACACTTTTCGAAGTAGAAAAAATTCAAAACAAATTTTTAAGATTTTTGTACTACAAAAAAGATCGTATCTATCCTGACTACAGAATAGTTAGAACAGCACAATTGAGAAATGAATTCAGAATATTGTCTCTGGACAATAGAAGAAACCAAAATATATTGATATTGCTATTCAAAATACTGAATCATGGAGTCAACTCTCCTGAACTCCGGATAAGATTCAATGTGCCTGCAAGGAGAACGAGAAATTCTCTTATGTTCAATTTACCCCTAGTTTGTACTACTGTTAGGTCACTCATAATCATGTTGCGACTAGCCGATACATTCAACTTACTGATGGATATAGATTGGCCAGTTTCATTCAGCGCTTTCAAAAAACTCGTTACACAGTTCATAATTAACTTCAATTAAGCATATATTAAGTATTAGAATGTAAGCCATATAAATGTATCTATTTAAATTTATATTTCAAACATTTTTTTATTCATGTAATAAGGCCTTGTAGGCCTGTTTGAATAATAAATAAAAGAACAAATAAATAAATGAATGAATGAATAAATAAATAACATATAGGCTACAATTTACAATGGTTTTGTGTAATTTTGGTCAAAATATAACGATAAGTGCACGCTGGCCGTGCGCTGCCTATACCGTTGGAGTTACAAGCATATAATGTATCGTAAGATTGTTTATCATAAATAGTTCCAAATAAAAGTCCGCGATAGCATATATCTACTTCTTGTGTGTTAGCTATTGAACCATGAATACAATTGAATTGGATACTTTTTCTGCAATGCACATTTCAGAATATCTGTCAAATTCTTATAAAAATTGATACAAGTGTCGTTTCAAGCATCAATATAGAGACACTTTGTCGCATACACTGAGTTATTTGGAGGAATCGTTTAAAAGTTATCGCGATAAGAATAACTCAACACAATGCAGTAAGCCATTATGCATCGCGTTTACTGTAAGATGACGGTGGACGAGGTGCGGGTGTAGAGGGGCGGTCTGAGCAATGAAGCGCTATCGCCGAGAACGCCACCTGTGAGCGAGCAGATGCGTGAGGGCAGACGTCGTTGATAGTTGTATTAGTTTTGCAAAATTTCTTTATAGGTAACATAATTGGATTCTCGAAGCTATTCATTACTAACTGCAGTTGGCATATTTTTTTCAGTTACTGTATTCTCAGAGTAAAAATATAAATTACTGGCTGTTGCCCGCTGCTTCGCCCGCATTGAATTTGGTTTGTCACATTTAGTTCCATGACAGGACATTTTAAACATATAGTTACATATTTATCTTTGAACTCTTATTCATCCCCTTGGGGGTAGAAATTCCTTATGCCCTTCCTTGATGCTTATTTAAGCTATACAAAGAACCTACTTGCATATTTTAAGATTCTAGGTTCAGTAGCTTCGGCTGTACGTTTATATAAGAGCGTCAGTCAATCAATAGGTATCCACTTATGCATTGTTAATAATTTTCCGCTGTTTTACCCGCGTTACCGTGGGAAACTGCCCTATGTGTGATTCCAGGTCGTGGTATATCAATATACCAACTTACATTTGAATCTGTTGAGCTGTCTAGGCGTGAAAAAGTAAAAAACGTAAATACATATATTACATTCATCCATTCTTACAAACTTTACATATTTATAATATTAGTAGGAGTAGGATTAGTAGGATTATCAATGTATTTCATTCAAATCCTTTCATTTTTTGCTGATGCTAGTCAATATTGTATGAGTGGGTACCTATTGATTCACTGACACTCTTATATTAACTTACAGCCGAAGCTATTGAACCTAGAAGGTTCTTTATATAGCATTAATATAGTAGAACATGTTATTTCAGGACTACCCAAAGTCCAATTCACTTCGGATGATTTACTTAATGGTGCTAAATCATCATGTACTTCATTCTTTCTTGAACCTGTAACGCCATCAGACATAATTGATGCAGTGATATCCTTGAAAAATGCTTCTTGCTTAGATATTTACGGTATGAACAGTGTAATGATCAAGGATATAATTGAAGCGATTATAGATCCTCTGACATTTATTCAACTCGTTTATACAAAAAGGGTGTTTTCCAAACACGTTTAAATGTACAAATGTATTGCCTCTTTTTAAAAAAGGAGACAGGTCTCTGGTTGGTAATTATAGACGAATATCAATCATTCCCGTTTTGGACAAAATCTTTGAAATTATTTTGAAGATCAATACGGATTCAGAGCGGGTAGATCAACAACAGATGCAATTCGAAAAACTGTGAGTCTGGTTATCGAGGGTCTTGAGAGAGGTGAACATGTGATATTAACCATGTGTGATCTCTCTAAAGCATTCGACTGCGTATCGCACGATGTTCTGTTCAAAAAGTTGGAGTTTTATGGAGTGATGGGGCTACCACTAAGTTTATTTTAGTCGTACTTATGTAACAGAACCCAATCTGTATGTGTGAATGGAAATATGACTGACAATAAAACTATCAAGAATGGTGTACCGCAAGGATCCGTTCTGGGACCATTGCTATTCTTGATATATTTCAATGACTTCAGTCATTTTATGTCACCAGGTAAATGTATTCTTTTCGCAGATGACGCAACTCTAATAACGTCTCAGAAAAACATAATCGAATTACCATCAATTACTGATGATACTCTGAGACAGGCGTTTTTGTGGTTCACAAAAAATCAGTTGAAATTAAATGAAAGCAAGACCCAGAAGGTCTTGTTTACGACCTCAAAAACTGGAATCTCTGGAAATGGCGATGATACTGCCAAACTACTAGGACTCACTCTTGACCGAAATTTATCATGGTATGCACACATTGATGAACTGAGTAAGAAGCTGTGTAAGAGTATATTTGCTTTTCGACAGCTAAATATAGTATTATCTCTTGACGCCCTGAGTAGTTTATATTTTGCTTGGTTCCACTCACATATGAATTATGGCATAGTTTTGTGGGGTAATTCCTCTCTCTCCATTAAAATCTTCAGACGTCAGAAAAAGCAGTCAGAATATTGATGAATGCCAATTATAGAGATCACTGTGAGCCGCTTTTCAAAAAAATGGGTATACTATCACTACGATCGGTATTCATATACAGTCAATTACTTGAAATCCATAAAAATAAACCAATCTAGCATCAGGATATTCATCATCATGCTACAAGAAATGCAGATCTATTAAAAATTCATTGAATATCAATCTCTACAATCATCTTCCTAATTCGTTCAAAGTGCTCAAACAAAGCTCCTTCAAAAACAGAGTCAGAACTATTCTATCACTCGTAAAAATACTACCCAATTTTGAATGTAAGAAATTGTTGTTATTGAGAATATTGGTCTTCTGTTGAGATTTAAACAAAATTTTATTCTCTTTATTTCTTTACGAAGTTTTTCCAAACGTTTTTGGTTAACCAGATAGCTGTGTTTCTGATACATCCTCAGATGATAGTTTTTAATCTCTGATTTAATGAGTAATATCACTAGGAAACCAAATAGTATATTTATATGAAATATTTTGCCGGCAAACTCTTTTCAACAATACAGTTAGGATGAGGTCGAGGTCGCAATTTTTGTTGAATCAAGGTTTGCCGTTAGAAGTATGTTTCATTGAAAAAAGGATATATGCATCCATGGGTGATAGGATAACTTCCGTGACTTCAGAAGTACTAGTTGATGGATCATTAGAGCTAAAATAAACATCTAGCCAAGGGAAATATCGGAAATGGTCTTGAAGATCCTCCCACTCAGCAGATCTGTAATGCCAAACTTTGCGCAGCTTAGATTGTTCCCCAACATTTATTGGTAATTCACAAAAATATTCTGTTCTCAAATGAAATATTTTTCACACATTCAATCGAATCATCGATTATAATAACACTATTGAACTCATTTTCCTCAATTTCTTGAGTTTTTTGGTTTATAGTTTTCATTGAACTCTAAACTGTAATAAGTTCACTATGAATTGATTCGTACATCGCAATATTTTGATTAGTGTTTTATTGCGTTTTCTTCTGGCGATAATCATTATTCAATTATCGGAAATCATCGACTTTATGTTGATTATGGACACTACTTTGCACTGATGAGTGGCCAAATAATCCGAATCCGGTCTGCGAGTGTGTTCCAATAATTAAAAATCGATTCCG